TTCCGCCTCAGCCTTCCAAGTAGCTGGAACTACAGGCGCGCGCTACCACGCCCGGCTGGTTTTTGATTTATTGTAGAGGTGAGGTCTCGCCAAGTTGCCCATGCGGGTCTCGAACCCGCTAGCTCACTCACCTCAGCCTCCCAAAGTGCAGGATTACAGGCCGAGCCACCGAGCCCGGCTCTTTTTTTTTTTTTAAGTTGGAGTCTCACTCCGTTGCCCAGGCTGGAGCGCAGTGGCACTTTCCTGGCCACTGCAGCCTGGACCTGCTAGGCTCAGGCGATCCTTCCGCCTCAGCCTTACAAGTAACCAGAGCTACAAGTGCGTGCTACCATGCCCAACTAATTTTTTAATTTATTGTAGAGATGATGTCTCTCCATGTTGCCCAAGCTGGTCTCGAACCCGCAGGCTCAGGCAATCCTTTTGCCTCGGCCTCCTGAAGTACTGGGATTATAGGTTGAAGTACTGGGATTATAGGTTTAAGCCACCGTGCCCGGCCAATAGTTATAATTTTACATGTAGCATTTCCTTACTGATTTGAGTATTCTGAAATAAACATTCTTATTCATTATCTTTATGTAGCAATATCAAGTAAGATATGGACAACATTTACCAAATTCAGCTACATACCATAGAATAGGTATTTTCCATATTAGCAGTAAGCCAAAAAGTTCTTCTTCTGAAGGACATTGACAAACTGGAATGTATTCAAAAGTAGCCAGTGAGCCTTGTGAAAGTTTTAGAAACTGAGTTGATAAAGAATGATTGAAGGAAAGAGGGATGCCTAGTCTGGAAAAGAGGAGACATGATGGTTCTTCTCAGGTATTTGAGGGGCAAAAGTGAAAAAAAAAAACAAGACTTAATCTGAGGTACTCCAGTAGGTGGAATAATGTTTACTATATGTTACATGATGCAGTTCAATGAAACAAAAATTATAACAGCAAGAATTGTCCTCCAGTGGGATAGGTTGTCTTACAAGGTCATTGAACTTGTTTGAACAGGGGCCCAGATGGTTGACTGTGTATCAAGAATGCTGTAGAAAGAATTTCAGTACAGAATAGGAGGTTCAAATGACTAAAAAACCCCTTCCAACTCTCAAGTAGCTGTTAGTGCACACCTTTTTATTTATTTATTTATTTCATTTTTGAGTCAGAGTCTCACTGTTGCCCAGGCTGGAGTGCAGTGGCGTACTTACGGCCACCACAGCCTTGACCTTGTCTCTCGTTACTGAATATCACTACAGTCACCTTCAAAGTACTCCCCTTGGGAAGCTATGCACCAACGCCTGTGCCTAGCCTACCCAGCAAAGCAGTTTGGGAGCTCTTTTCCTGGAAAGGCCATCAGAACTATCGTTGTGTTACCCTTGATGTCCTGAATGTTATTAAGTGTATTCCTTTTTTTTTCTAGATTGGAAAATATAGTTTATTTAAAAAATAAATTGGAGAGAGAGAGGATTCACCTCCCCAAGGTAGGGGAGAGTGCAAGCTTTTTTACTAGTTTGTTTTCATCTTGTAGGATGGTACAGAATGCTTCAGTTAGTGGGAGAATGAGTTTTCGTTTCCTAAAGCTGTTCAAGGTGCTTCTCTTTTACTCAAGTAGACGGATGAAGTCTTCCAAAGTTGGAATGAAAAAACACCTGAAACTTATTCAAGGTCCAGAACAATTTGTATTGACTGGAAATTTAGCCCACCTATCCCCTTAACTATGTTAGCGCATGATTCTTTTTATTTTTTAATTTTTTTATTATAAAGATGTGGGGTACAATTCAGGGTTAAGTATACAAAGCGCATGATTCTTAAAGAGGTACTTTCCTCGAGTTATTATTTCCTTTCCCTGTGTGCTGGTCTTAAGGGACTTGCTTTAGAGATTTGTCCAGGAAAATGGCTCACCCAAGTATAAAGGCTTGGCTTTGCTGCAGGAAAAGTGAAGAACTATAAAATGCTCCTGGTGGCCACGGTATGAGCACTGCATAAAATGCACTGGCCAATCTGGTGAAGTCTCCATTAATTTTAATGAATGCTTTTTACAAACATGTTGTGGGGGATAGCTTCCTTCTCAAGGAAAGACTTGGGCCTTGGAGGCAAATCGGCTTTTCCTTAAGAAAGTGATTAATTATGAACCTAGAGAACTTCATATATAGGAATCCGAAAGATATTACAAGGTACAAAAATCAATAAATAGGTGATTAGGAATTTTAGTTAAAATTATATTTGTCTATAGTTGATTTAAGTCGTAAGCTCCATGAGGGCAGGGATTTTTGTCTCTCTTGTTTACTCTCTATTCTCAGCATCCAGATCAGTGCCATGTACTGCATTAGGTACTCTGTAAATTACTGGACGAAGTGAAGGGCTAGGACAGATGTCCTAAACTCCCTGTTTCGAGGACAGAAATAGGCCTGTAAAGGCCAAAGTATTAGGATAATTATATCATAAAGATATCATTAGTTTGGTGATGGTACAGACCAGTGCTTCCCAAGATGTGTTTTTTGATCTTCTAAGAATTGTAGGTTAAACAGGTTTCTTTTTTTTTAATCTGTTGATATGGTGAATTATGTTGATTGATTTGCCATTGTTGAATCATCCTTGCATTCCGGGGATAAATTCTACTTGATTTATGATATATTATCCTTTTAAAAATATTGATGGATTCAATTTCTTTTCTTTTTCCTTTTTTTTGAGTCGGGATCTCACTCTGTCACACAGGCTGGAGTGCAGTGTAACAATCGCAGCTCACCACATCCTTGACTTCCTGGGCTCAGATGATGCTTCTGCCTAAGCCTCTTGAGCATTGGGACTACAGGCTACCATGCCCAGCTAATTTTAAAAAATTTTTTGCAGAGATAAGGTCTCCCTATGTTTTCCAGGTTGGTCTTGAACTCCTGGGCTCAAGCAGTCCTCTCGCCTTAGCCTCCCAAAAATGCTGGGATTTTAGGTATGAGCCACCGTGCCTGGCAGATTCAGTTTCTAATATATTTTGTTAAGGAATTTTGCATTTATGTTCATGATTACTATGGTTCTGTAGTTTCCTTTTTCTCTAATAACTTTAGTTTTGATATCAGGGCAACACTGGCCTCATAGAATGAGTTGAGAAATGTTCTCTGCTTTTATTTCTGGCAGAGTTTCTGGCATACTGACAGCCACCCCAGTGTTGACCTGCTGGGCTCTGGTGATCCTTCCGCCTCAGCCTTCCAAGTAGCTGTAACTGTAGGCGCACACTACCAGCCCGGCCTGGTATCACTTTTTAGATGTTTAGTAGAATGCTCTAGTGATGCCATCTGGTCTGGAGTTTGCATTCTGGGAAGGTTTTTAACCACAAATCTTACTTCTTTATTAAATACAAAAAAACTATTCATCTTATTTATTTGTTCTTTTTTTCTTTTTTGAGTAAGGGTCTTACTTTGCTGCCTAGGCTAGAGTGTAATGGCACATTCATGGCTCACTGCAGCCTCAAACTACTAGGTTCAAGTGATACTCTCACCTCACCCTCTGGAGTAGCTGGTGTCACCACCATTCCTGGCTATTTTAAAAAAATCTTTTGTGGTCTTGCCATGTTTCCTTGGCTGGTCTTGAATTCCTATGGAGCCTCAGCCTCCCAAAGTGCTGGGATTATGGGCATAAACCTATTGATTTATTCTGAGCTTTGGTAGTTTGTCTTTCAAGGAATTTGTCCATTTCATCTAAGTAATCACATTTATTGGCCTAAAGTTGTTCATAATAGTCCTTTGTTATCTTTTTTTTTTTTTTGGAGTGGGAGTCTCACTGTTGCCTGAGCTGGAGTGCAGTGGCATGCTCATGACCACCGTAGCCCCAACACTGCTGGATTCAGGTGATCCTTCTACCTCAGCCTTCCAAGTAGCTAGAACCACAGGCATGCACCACCATGCCCAGCTAATTTTTTTGATTTACTGTGGAGGTGAAGTCTCTCCAAGTTGTTCAGGCTAGTCTTGAACCCCTGGGCTCAGGCAATCCTCTTGCCTCAACCTCCCAAAGTGCTGGGATTCCAGGAGTGAGCCACCATGCCCAGCTCTTATTATCTTATTAATGTCTTTAGGATATATAGTGATGTCCTCTCTCTGATTCCTGGTATTGGTAATTTATATCTTTTCTGTTTTTTTGTTTGTTTTTTCTTGATCAGTCTGGCTATAGGTTATCAGTTTTGTTGATATTTTTAAAGAAACAGCTTTGACTTGTTTTCTATATTATTTTTCTGTTTCTAATTTTATTGATTTCTACTCTTTTTTAGATTAGAAAATATAGTTTATTTGAAAAGTAAATTAGAGAGAGACAGACAGACAGACAGACAGAAGGGATTCACCTCCCCAAGGCAGGGCAGGGAGCCAAAGCCAGGAAACATGGCAACAGCCACAGCTTAAAGAGCACATGGCCACACCAGAGTTTAGTAAGACAGTGACCTGATTTCTACTCTTTATGACATTGTTTGTTTTTAGGTTTAATTTGCTTTTCTTTTCTAGTGTTTTACCATAGATTTTGTTTAAATTTGTGCTTCTACTGCTTAGTTACTCCCTAGATAGGCATTATCTGATTTCTATTTGGTATATGTTCTGTTTTCTCCTATGTAAGCTTTAGACTCCTATGTAGTTTTAGTCTTGAAAACATGACAGCCCTCAAGGTAGCAAATAGAAAAATCTCAATTACAGAGACATAATCCTTTCTCAGTTTGTTATGAGTATTTCTGTCCATCAAAGACACTATTGTTTCGACTCTAGAGAGTATAGAGAAATATGAATATTATGTAGTATTGGGTGCAGTGTATCCCTGATGACTTTGAACCTTACTGTAGCTCTATTGGATTCTAGATTGGTTTTTCTTCTGTTGCTGTACCATTCCCAGTCTACACATTTGTCGTTAGTCTGTACATATTTGGATCTGTACCTTTCCCTGTCATTTTAAGAAAAAATAAGTTCCTACATACCTTTTCTTGATGTGCTAATTTATTTAGTTATATCCTTAGTAGAATGTTTTGGAAGTCCTTAAAAGTCCTGTTCTATGACACTGAGCGGTTCTTCAGACCCACAATTCAACTCTTAGGAATTTATTTTTCATTTTTAGGTTTACTTTTTTTAAGGCATAATTTATATACACTAAATATAAATCTTAAGTACATTTCAGTGAATCAATTAAAACCATCACTCACATCAAGATCCTGTGAAAATTGTTAGTGCTTTCTGAATAGTAAAAGAATGGTTTAAAGGGTTTCAGATTATAAAGAGTTAATGTGAATAATGCTGAACAGTGTTTTAAAAGCTCAAATTTGGTGATGGGTTTGAATTAAAGAAGAAATTTTACTTAGATATTAAAAAAACCCTTTTTGGAATTTTCATCCTGCAGTCCTAAAATGTGAAAATTGTGTGAACTTTCTATGAAAAGTAAAAAAATTATATTGGTTTAAATTGCCTAGAAACAGGTTTGGACCCTTCCTCATAGTTGAAGAATTGAAAAAGATTCTGTGATACATGTGTGATGGCCCTAGAATATCCACTTGGTTCTGTCTTGAGTTTTGTTTTATTCTCTTTGTCTAGAAGATTAAGATTGCGGCCCTGCGCATGTACACTAGCTGTGTGGAGAAAACTGACTTCGAGGAATTCTTTCTAAGTAAGTTACTGTTTGACAGTTCTGAATAGAAAATGAATCTACTTTTCACTTTTCTAGTTTTGTTTTAATATGATAGTTTTCTTAAGTCACTAGTGAAACAGATTTTCCTGCACAAAGTGTATATAAACTATTTTTTTCTTTAATCATTTTTTTGTAAATATATTTTTTTTAGAGATGGTATCTTGCTATGTTGCCCAAACTGACCTTGAACTCCTGGCTCAAGTGTTCCTCCTGCCTCAGCCTCTGAGTAGTTGGGATTGCAAACATGTACCAACATGCCTGACTTTTTAAATTTTTAATAGAACAAACAAAAATAATCCTATAAATGAAACATTTTAACAATTTGGCAAAAACAACAACAACAAAAAAATAAAAATTTGTCTAGTACTTTGATATTGTCATCCCCCTTGTCTACATGTATCTTTTACTCCATAGTAAACATATCTTGTTTTACATTCTGGATGTTTTACTTAGTATTTTAACATAATCTTTCGGCCCGTCATTTTTCTTCTGTTTCTAGTTTTTAATTGCTTTTGTTAGTCCTGGAATAAATGTCAATATTTTTCTTCTTTCTGTTAAAGAACTGTTGGGTCAAGAGGCACACATAATTTTATTATTTGTACCCCATTGGGAAATTGCTTTCCAAAGGAGTTTTACTGGTTTAGACTATTACAAGCAGTTGATTGTATCAGTATAATATTCATTTTGATGCTATAAGCCGTTGTAATTATTTAAAAAGTTAATTAAAGCAGCTATTTGTAAAGTTATTGGAAGAGTTTAAGCCACTTCCAGTGCCACAGATTTTGGAAGGAAATGTGTGCCATGTACTTCTATGGTAATGGTCACATACTCAAAGCAGCAAACAACTAACTATGTACACTTGATATTTTTCTTTGTCAACAAATATTTATATATAATTATGTTAATAACAATGAAAAAAGAAAGCTAGATGCAGTTTTGATTATCTAATAACTATTTTAGTTTTTAAAAATCAAATACAAGTTGTTTACTATCTTGGTAGATTGACATTAGAAACTTGAAATACCATATTGAATTGTAATTCCAATTTAGTGTCTGCCTTGCATTTCTTATTTATTCATAGCCAAGAAAGAAAACATTCTTAGTTCTTTGTTAACTTCTAACAATTTCTTATTTTAGGAGAAAGTAGTCCAAAATGAGAAAATAGCCTTTCTCTGTCTGATGAAATTATTAATAGTAGAAGCTGTTTTTTTCTTAAGTGCTTTCTTGAATCCATGTGCTAAGTATTTTTCATCAGATCTTTTTAAAACCTTATTCTTAGAAATCTATTTAATATTTGATTCAATAATTAACTGAGAAATTTATTATAATTATTTTGAAAGGATGTCTACTAGCTATCTTTCTTAACCAACTCCTCATTATTGAAGGTTCTTGAGTTAATATTTTAGTATTGAGTAATAAATCTTAAAAAAAATTTTTTTGAGTAGAAATCTCACTCTGTTGCCCAGACTGGAGTGCAGTGGCACGCTCATGGCCACCGCAGCCTTGACCTGCTGGGCTCAGGCCATCCTTTACCTCATTCTTCCAAGTAGCTGGAACTACAGGTATGCGCCACCATGCCTGGCTAATTTTTTGATTTATTGTAGAGATGAGGTCTCGCCATGTTGCCCAGGCTGGTCTTGAACCTGCTGACTCTGGCGATTCTCCCGCCTTGGCCTCCCAAAGTGCTGGAATTACAGGCGAGAAAAATTTTTTTAAGTTTTATTTTTTAAATAGAGATGAGGTCTCACTATGTCGCTCAGGCTGGTCTTGTACACCTGGGCTCAAGTGATCCTCCCTCCTCAGCCTCTCAAAGTGCTGGGCAGACATGAGCCACCGTGCCTGGCCCCATAAGACTGTTTTTACATATTTAATATACTATGTTTCAATTTATAGCCTGTTGTAAACTACTTTAAAAACTTAAGAAAAGTTTATAAAAGTCCTAACTGTTTTATACTACTAACTCACATAGTATGCTTTTACATTTGTCTCATTTATGTGTTATAAAACCTTGTGTGGTAGGAAGGACTTGTATTATTGTTTTCATCTTTGTTTTGTTTTGTTTTCAGAAAAAAACAAATGAGTCTTAAAAAGTCCAAGTGACTCACCTATGTGCTTAGCCAAGCCTTGACTTGAACATGTATTTTCTGGTTTAAAATCCAGGCATTTTCTTTTTCTTTTTTTGAATTGGGGCTACCCAGACTGGCATTTTATAGGAGCCCATTTACGAGGCTGACAGGCATGTTTTTACTCACAAACATATTGTGAGTAAACAACTAATAGTTACACAATCTTCATGAAATAGCACCTGCCTCACTTTTAGTGGTAGCAGGGAGTATAGGTATATGCCACCACATCCAGCTAATTTTTTGACTTTTTGTAGAGATGAGGTCTTGCTATGTTGCCTAGGCTGGTCTCGAACTCATGGGCTCAAGCAATCCTCCTGCGTTGGCCTCCCAAAGTGCTAGGATTACAGGCATGAACCACCATGCCCTATGGGATTTTTCTACTATGACATATTTCCTGTGAATGAGTATAACTGCAAATTAGAAATTATAATCTGTCTTAATATTTTTTGTATTTTACTATATTTAAATAAGAATTACCTCCATGTTCTATTTGCTTCGGACACTGATGTTTATATGTACTATAGTGTGCACATCTCACAGCTTTGTCTTTCAAAAGCCTTTGTCTTTGAAGTAATTACTTAGGGAAGCAGTACATTTTTTGGTGACACCGTTTTTACTTTGGGTTTTCTAAGGCTCAATTTGAGAATTTACTTTTAAGACCTATAGCACTCGCTGGGTATGGTGGCTCATGCCTGTAATCCCAGCACTTTGGGAGGCAGAGGCAAGAGGATTGCCTGAGCTCAGGTGTTCGAGACCAGCCTGAGCAACATGGCAAGACCTTGTCTTTACAATAAATCAAAAAATTAGCCAGGTATGGTGGCGCATGCCTGTGGTTCCAGCTACTTGGAAGGCTGAGGTGGAAGGATTACCTGAGCCCAGCAGGTTGAGGCTGTGGCGGCGATGAGTGTGGCACTGCACTCCAACCTGGGCGACAGAATGAGACTCCAGCTCAAAAAAAAAAAAAAAGAAAGAAAACCCTTGTACTTTGGGAGGCGGAGGCAAGAGAATTGCCTGAGCCCAGAGGTTCGAGACCAGCCTGGGCAACTTGGACAAGTCCTTGTCTCTATAATAAATCAAAGAATTAGCCAGGCATGGTGGCGCATGCCTGTGGTTCCAGCTTCTTAGAAGGCTGAGGCAGAAGGATCACCTGAGCCCAGCAGGTTGAGACTGCAGTAGCTGTGAGCATGCCACTGCATTCCAGCCTGGGTGACAGAGTAAGTCTCCAATTAAAAAAAAAAGACTTATAGCATGTTCATTTGTATTATATTTCACTGTGGTCCATCTTTGACATCTGAAGCTAGATTAAGTTTTAAAATCACACCAAAGTGGTTCCAAACTAGGTCTGGTGAATAAAAAGGGAGCAAATCTGGAACATACCATCTGGAGGCAGAAGATGAAAAATATCTGTAAAACAATGAGACTGATTTTTTTGGATTTTAAAGAGTAGGCCAGACAGATTTGAAATAAGAACTATATATATATTGCTTCCCAAGAGTACACCTTTACTTATTATTATTATTATTATTATTATTATTTTTTTTTTTTTTTTTTTTGAGTCGGAGTCTCACTCTGTCTCCCAGACTGGAATGCAGTGGCCGTTCCCGGCCACCGCAGCCTCGACCTGCTGGGCTCTGGTGATCCTTCCACCTCAGCCTTCCGAGTAGCCGGAATTACAGGTACGCGCTACCACGCCTGGCTAATTTTTTGATTTATTGTAGAGATGGGGTCTCACCAATTTGCCCAGGCGGGTCTCGAACCCGCGGGCTCAGGCAATTCACTCACCTCAGCCTCCCAAGGCGCGGGATTACAGGCTGAGCCACCGAGCCCGGCTTTTATTATTATTTTGAGCTGAGATCTTATTCTGTTGTCCAGGCTGGAGTGCAGTGAAACGATCATGGCCCACTGAAGCCTCAACCACCTGGGCACAGACGATCCTTCCACCTCAACCTCCCGAGTAGTTGGAACTATAGGTGTTTGCCATCACGCCTGTCTAATTTTTAAATTTTTTGTAGAGACAGATTCTCGCTATGTTTCCCAGGCTGATCTTGAACTCCTGGGCTCAAGCAATCTTTTCGCCTCTGCATCCCAAAGTGCTGGGATTCCAGGTGTGAGCAGCTGAATCTGGCCAGATTACACCTTTGGACTGGTAATTGCTCACTTGGTATTTTAGGGCTTAACTTTTAGAGTTCTGAAAATTTATTAAAGAGAGCCTCTGGTTAGCTGGCTGGTGTTATCCTCACCCTTCTCCCTCCAATAGAAGTGAGGCTAGTGCTATTTCATGAAAATTGTATAAGAATGAATTATATACTCACAATATGTTTATAAACAGTATGCCTGTCAACCTCTTGAATGGGCTCCTATAAAATGCCAAAGCTATGTGCTCTGTCATCTCAGAGCTAAAGTTTTCAAAGGTTACGTAGTCTCTGTCATCTTGGAGCTAAAGTGTTAAAGGGTTTAGACCCCGAGAGCTAGATGTTGGAGTTCTTAGTAAGATACCTTAACAGCCTGTTGTTGTTCCTGAGGTGTTCTGCTTATGGTTTTTGCCTGTCATAAATGAACGTGCTGCACTGTTGAGTATACAGCAGTTTGCTGACTGGTCTTTCGGTGATTAACTCTACTATGAAGAGCATTTTGGAGGAGAGGTGCTTGTGTTTAATTGGATGCTGCTGTCTGCGGACTGCTTTGTCTTTAGCTCTTAAGAGACTAGAGACTTTGGAGAAGAGTAAGTTCTGACTCAGTGATTGAGGTTTATCACCTTATTGATGCAGCCTTAAATGATTAGTGAGGTTTTCAAAGATAATTTAGGCTGGGTCCAGTGGCTCATGTCTTTAATCCTAGTAGGATTCAGGAGGCTAAGGCAAGAGGATCACTTGAGACCAGGAGTTCAGGACCAGCCTGGGCAACATAGAGAGACCCTATCTCTTAAAAGGCAAAATTAAGAATCTGGCCGGGGTCGGTGACTCAGCCTGTCAACCCAGCACTTTGGGAGACCAAGGCGAGTGGATTGCCTGAGGCTGTGGGTTCGAGACCAGCCTGGGCAACTTGGTGAGACCTCATCTCTATAATAAATAAAAAATCAGCCGGGTGTGGGAGTGCCTGCCTGTAGTTCCAGCTACTTGGAAGGCTGAATTGCTGGAGCGTGCCACTGCACTCCAGCCTGGGCAAAGAAGTGAGACTCCAACTCCAAAAAAAAAAAAAAAAAGGAATTTTAAAAAAGGTAGTTTAAACCCTACTAAATAATTCACAGAAAAACAATAATGAATATTTATTGAGTAGCTGTTAAATACTAGCCATCTTGCTAAACGTTTTACAGGCCTTTTCCCATGTAATGCTCACAATAACCTTATAATGTCGATTAACTTGTTCTTCCCAGTTTTGTTTTGTTTTTTGAGTTGGAGTCTCACTCCTTCGCCCAGGCTGGAGTGCAGTGGCACACTCATGGCCACCCCAGCATTGATCTGCTGGGCTCCTGTGATCCTTCCGCCTCAGCCTTCCAAGTAGCCGGAACTACAGGCACAACCTATCACACCTGGCTGATTTTTTATTTATTGTAGAGACAAGATCTCGCCAAGTTCCCCAGACTGATCTCTAACCCACTCGCCTCGGCCTCCCAAAGTGCTGGGATAACAGGCTGAGCCACTGAGCCCAGCCAATTCTTCCTATTTTTACAGAAAAGGAAACCAAGGCACTGGGAGACTAAGTAACTTTACTTAATAAAGTAAGTGAGTGATAGAGTCAAGATTTTGAATCAGGCAGTCAGACCCCACATTAAAGACTGTTAATACTGCCTCCTTGTAACAGTAATAAATTATTTAATTTTATCCCACTTGGTGTTGAGAAAGTGTCTAACTTCAGAAAAGAAAGCACTGGATGTGCATTGGAGCAAGAGTGATCATGGCAAAAGACTATAGCAGGTTTTAACTCTGAAGTATTCAGAGTTTACATTTCATTGAGCTGAAGAATCTCCTGTATTTTTGTGTAGCTCACAATCAACATTCATTGGTCTTACTTTTTAGAGCTTTATACCATGTGTTTCTTTTCTGACCCTAGTGGATATAGGGATTCAGGCATATGCCAGCTCTCTTCTTATCCTCATCCCTGAGGTGACCCTCAGAGGGGAAATTGTGACCTGTGTCCAGGTGCTGGCCTGTCTGTCTGTCAGTGCTTTCCATCCCAAGAACTGATTCCTTCTCTGAGAACATTGGAAAGTCTCCTGGAGGCTGCTGAAAAGCTTTGATGGAGAGGGAGCAATTGAACAGATTGTCCTTTAGAAGCAGCCAAATTTCATTTTCCAGATTGAAAGACAGACTTCCAAGAAAACTTTTCTTTTTAATGTTTTGTTCTAGCATCCAAAAAAGACCCAACTTCAGATCCGGGCTTGAGAATTTCTCAGGGCTATTCTTGTTCTAGGTGGAGGGTGGTTGGCCCACTCTCAGATGGCATGTGTCTTAATAACTGCATGACTGGCCAGGCCAGCCTTCACTTCCCTCCTGCTGGACTCTGAGAGGAAGTCCACTTGACAGCTGCTGGGCACCACCCAGTAAGCTCACCAGAATATTTTGGTGTCACTTTATAACAGACCTGGATTCAAACCCCAGCACTGCTGTTAGCTTGTTAATATTGTGACTGTCTGCAAGTTATTTAGCTTTTTGAGTCTGTTTTCTCATCTCTAAAATGAGGATTATAATGCTTCCCTCCAGGGTTAAAGAGAGGAATAAGTGAGATAATGTATTGCCATGACTGACAGTGGACCTGGCATGTAGCATGGGCCCTTAGTGAGTGTTAGTTTCTGATATTAGTATTAGAGCGGTGGTTAGAGTAACAATTAAGGACACATTGTCTAGAATCAAGCAGCTCTGAATTGATCCCAGGTGTCTTGTTTCACAGTTGTGTGACCTTGAGCAGCAGTTGTCTTAATCTTTCTGAGTCAGTTTTCTCAATTATCAAATGGAGATAATGTTAATACCCACCTCAGGCTTGTTGGGAGGATTTTTTGAGCTAATGAACATAAAGCACCTATTCTGCTCTCTGGCACATAGTCAGCCCACACTGAATTACAGCCTTTTTATCATTAGGGGTACTGTGAATATACTTCACAGGGCCCTTACTCTGGGTTTTATCTGCCTGTGACCTCTGTTATCGTTTATACATTATATAACTCAATGTTTGCTGAAAGACAGATGACAGCACTTCTTTCCTGAATCATTGCTCCAAAGGACAGATTCCAGCATATGGACCCAAATTTCCCACTGATTCTCTTTTTTCTTCTTCTTGTTTCAACTTTTCTCCCTGTCATGTAATAAGGAGGGCACATTCAGTGGGGGACTCCTCACCCTTCCAGAGGCATTTCTCAGAGAGCTGGGAATTGGGGCTTGGATATCTGAGCACAGACCTTATTTGTGGGATCTGAAGCCAAGGTGAGGCACCTCTCATCTTTGTCATTTCAGTGGCTGATGAACAGCCTTTCATTAGCTATGGTCAGCTTTCCTATTTAGCTGCAGGTACCTGGAGCCCCACTTTTTTCTCCTGTTCATTTCCTTTGGCCAAATCATTTAGCATACCCATGTTCATAGCACACTGGGTCACCTTAAGAAAGAAGATAGGAAAAGGAGACGAGGAAGACTTAAATTTCTCAGTGGGGCCCAAATGAAAAAAAGTAAAGGAGTGTTTGGTTTTCAGAATTCGATCGAGACCATGAAGGGGAAATATGTAGACTTCCATGGAGGTTGGAAAGAACCATGGAGGCCATCTAGGCCGCATTATACAGAGTGAAAAAACGGAGATTCAGAGGAGAGAAGTATTTGTCTAGACCACACAATAAGATGGTAACAAGGCGGAGCTAGAAGGCTGACAGGCTAGATTCATTGCCCTTCTTTTATTCTTTTATTCCTGGCAAAGTATGATTTAATGCTCTTTTAGTCCACAGTCTTGCCCTTTGGTTCCACTGACCTTTTTTGCAGTCGTGTAATCAGAGAGCACTGTAAGTGCCACACATTTTAGTTGAACAAAGGGCGACTGATATTTAAAATATAGTCAGCATGCATTCTCTAAACCCTCACATACTTACATTTTATTGTTATTTTCTAGGATGTCAGATGCCCGATACATTCAATTCATGGTTTCTTATAACTCTACTTCATGTCTGGTAAGTGAGCAATTTAAGTGAAGTCACCAAATGTATTTTTTAAAACACTGTAGGGTATAGCCTTCAGTGGGACTGATGGTATGAAATGGCAATTGTTCAGGCATTAAAAACCGTTCTTTTAATTTTAATAACTGGTGTCTTGAAGCACATTTTTATTAAAGGTCAAAGCATAGGCCAGAAAGAAACTAATATTTGTAGGAGTTTTTCAAAGGATACCTAACGCAATGAACAATGCTATCAGTATCTCTAAGAAACTGTATGAGCTTGGATGGAAAGTTCTCTCCCTTGGCTGTTTTAGGAAAGTTCACATTTACGTAAAAGTGGTTTGAATTGTGAGAATCCGTGGTCATTTTCATTGCTGGTCATCAGAAACCTATAACAAATTATAGCACTGACATTTACGCCTGTACCTCTAAAATGTGCATACAAGTTAGAATCATGCCAGGTTTGTTGCATGTAAAAATATTTAACACCTTAAACAGTATATTTTTTCTTCAGCTGTGAAGTAAGTAGCCAAAAAAATCAATTTTTCACCTAATGTTACACAGTATTAAAGGTCAGAGGGATATAGGAGAGTTGTTGAAGTGGGGGTTGGGGAATGTATTTGTTGAACTGCCAGATCTTGGGAAAGTAAATTCTGGAGAACTGAGTTTACTACTTTGACCATAGTGAGTATCTGAGGAACGTGGGGAATGGCTGCCCTGTCAAAAGGACCCTTGTTTGAGACTGCCTTCAGCTGAGCCTTTGCATCACAGAACTGAGTACTATATTAAGACTTTTTGGTTTTGATCACCTCTGAAATATTTCTTCCTCTGTACTCAAATAGTCACACTGAGTTTGGCCTAGGGGCTTAAGGTGGCAGTTTATTTTATGCTATTTTTTCTAAGCAATAGTTCATTGAGTGCACACTATGTCCTGGGAACACTGTGAGAACTAGGGATAGTTCTCAAGAAGCTCACAGTCTAGTGAGGGAGAAAAATCAGAATGGCTAAGTTACATAATATATATAAGTAAGGAGTGCTTATAGAGGAGGCTGCAACTATCGAAACCCTTACTAATTCTACTCATTGGTTCTTTGAAATGTGTCATGTGTTTTAGTCAAGTAGGTGAGAAGGCACTGTCTTACTGGCAAAGGTTAAGGAAGAGGACTCAGGGAGGGAAGCTGATATGTGTTCGGGGAAAAATTGCTTTTTCAAGAGGAGAAGACTGTAGAGGTGGCACTGTAAAGTTACTCACTGGAAAGGTGGGAGGGTTGAGCAAAGGCTAGGCTGTCCCCGGAGGAGCTCAAAGATAATATTCAAAGCCTGTATGAAAGACTCTTTATTGCCCATATAGCTAGAGGTATCAGAGTGTTAGAGGGAGTGGATGGCAAACTAAAATATATAGTCCCTGTGACCACATCCCAAGGTCAATACCTGACTAGTAGCAGATGGGAGAACCTTGGAACTACTTGTAGCTTTTTAAAGTTTCCAAACTGTGCCTGCTGAGTCTTCCTTGCTGAGGCTGGTTTCTCAGAGGAGTGGGGTGTACCACCACCACTTATATGGAGGAAGGTTATCTGCTTCAGATATACACCTGATCTCCCTTCCATTCTTCCTCTCCCTTAGTTCTGGTGGTCTGCAGACTTGCTAGAATGAATCAGTAGCTTTTCAGCTTGAATCAGCAAACTCCTACTGAGGACCTACTGTGTGTTCAGGGCCATGAAACACTGGAGAGAGGGATATGACATGGTCTGTACCTTCTTGTGGAAGGAAAACAGACTTGAAGCCCAATTGCCTGTAATGGATGACAGTAAAAGCATGCTGTGCCCAAGGCACAAACATATGCTGTAGGAGCACAAGAGGTATAACTGAATCCATTTGGTGGGAGTGAGGGTGTATTGGATAAAGAGTGGCTCTGTGGTAGAGGTGACACTTGAGATGCACCAGGAGAGTGAGTAGAATGTTTGTCAGAGAAAGAGAGGACATTTCAGGTTGAGGGACTATCAGGAGCAAAAGACAGAACATGTACAAGAACACAGTATTTGAAGGAAGCCAGTTGTCTGGTGTGTCTGGTTCAAGTTTATGGAGGAATGCATTAGAAGGGTCACCAGAAAAGTAGTTAGTTAGGGCCCAGTTGTGCTGTGATTCTCCAAGAATTGGAGAACTCTTTCATTTAAGGGATAGAGGGTATGAGGAGGAATTATGTCTCCATCCCAAGTCTGTGGAGAAGCTCCAGTAGGGTAACAGAGGGACAGCCACATCCAAAGTTACAGGACACAGTGGACTTGCCAGAGATGTGGGGATTGAAATACCTCTTAGAGGAGGTGGTAGTTGAGGGAGAGGTGGGGAGTCTTAGAAAACAGTCATAAAAGTGGAAATAAACCCCCACCAAAGCAAAACAAAACAAACCCCTGATAAATAAAAATACCCTGGTGTCTGACTTTTCAGAATGCTTGCTTGGGTTCCTAAGGGTGATGGTTCCCTATGACTCTTAGAATAGAGACAGGATTTCTCACATCCGGTTGGTTTCCTGGAGGAAGTGTTGAGGTTTCACTTATCCTGTCTGCCTTTTCTAGTTCGTTTTTCCATGGATTGGGATTTAGGACTGGGATGTCCTCCAGTTCCTAGAGGACCCTTATCGGGTATGTATTCATGGGAGCTTGCGGCTGCAATGACTGTGCTGCAATGACTATGTTCATTGTCTTTGCAGAATGAGATTAGTATTAACTGTGGCTGCTGAAAAATGCTGAGAAAGGCATCTGTGTGCTCTGTCCAGCATCCCCACATGGACTTGATAAAAGCAGGCCTACTCCTCCATTCTCTATCTTGGCCAGGGGCATTGTGCTCACACCAGAAACCTAGAAACTCTCTTTGATTTTCCCTCACCCCCCTTCAGCTGGCCAGACCAAACACCTAACTGAAAACTTTTTTTTTTTGAGTTGGAGTCTCACTTCGTCGCCCAGGCTGGAGTGCAGTGGCACACTCACAGCCATGCCAGCGTCGACCTGCTGGGATCCGGCTATCCTTCTGACTCAGCCTTCCAAATATCTGGAATTACAGGCGCGTGCTACCACCCCTGGCTAATTTTTTTTGGTGTTCTTTATTTATGTATGGCTTGCAAATATTTTGTTTTTCTGTTCTATGTGTTGTCTCTTTACTCTCTGGTTGCTAATTTTTTATTTATTTTAGAGATAAGGTCTCGCCAAGTTGCCTGGGCTGGTCTGGAACCCGCAGGCTCAGGCAACCCACTCGTCTTGGCCTCCCAAACTGCTGGGATTACAGGCTGAACCATCAAACCTGGCCTTATTAGAAATTTTTAACAGGAATTTTTTTTTTTTTTTTTTTTTTGAGTTGGAGTCTCACTCGGTTGCCCAGACTGGAAGGCAGTGGCCGCTCCCGGCCACTGCAGCCTCGCCTGCTGGGCTCCAGTGATCCTTCTGCCTCAGCCTTCCGAGTAGCTGGAATTACAGGCACGCGCCACCACACCCGGCTGATATTTTGATTTATTAGAGATGAGGTCTCGCTGTCCAGGCGGGTCTCGAACCCGCGGGCTCAGGCAATCCACTCACCTCAGCCTCCCAAAGGCGCGGGATTACAGGCTGAGCCATCGAGCCTGGCTTTAACAGGAATTTAAAAAATAATTTAAGCTTCTTTTTTTTAAGCTATTTAATTGACAAATTAAATTGTATGTATGTAAGGTGTACAACATGATGATTTTATGTGCATCAGTACATGTTTATTAAATAATTGATGTTCTCAGATCTGACTTGGCTTCCATGGCAATTTGAAGAGACCTGGCCTCTGCCAGCAGCTCAAGTAAGAGTGGCAAAACTCTGCCTCTACTTAAGCTTCTCCATTGATGAGATTTATTGAGGTGGAATTTATGTTGGCATTTAGGAGTGTTAATTGATTTTTAGAGACTCTTCAGATTGCCATGGAGCACCTTCTTGACACAGAAATTAATTTTATAAAATGGAATGGAACAAATAAAATTAGAACATACCTGTGATGGAGGTGGGGTGGAGAGGATGTAAAATGTAGTTTGCATTTTTTTTTTTTTTGAGTTGGAGTCTCACTCTGTCTCCCAGACTGGAGTGCAG